CTCTCTGTACCTGGCAGGCGGTACAGGATCACGACAATGTTAGCCCGTTTGCTCTCCAACAACCGCGCGCTTCATACTACAAAGCCTTGACATTTGTTTAGCAACGTACGATAACTGTATGTCGCCCCTGAGGCTACTTGAGATTGATGAGCTGAGATGATCAAGGAACAAGGTTGTGTATGAATGGTCCATGACACGACGGCACGGCACAGAATCCTTCTGGAATTAGGATTCAGCATCATTTTTCCTTGCCAACGAACAGCAATGATTAACCGAAACCCACAATTAGGTTGGATGCAAAAAAGCGGCGGCGAGGCTCCCAGAGGCATCCTGACCTTTTGCTCAATATTGACCGCTCAGTGCCGTCTTCACCGATATCAACACCTAGATGAGCCTCGTGCGCGACTGGCGTCGTTCGTCTTGTAGGCTGGGGGACAGCTGATTTGTCGCGCAGCGTTGGCGCGCTAATTGCTTTTGCAACCGTGCCCAGCCGGTTGAAGGGCCAGGAGGAAGGTGAGCACTCTCTGCAAGAAGCCCGGGAGAGCCAAAAGCTGTGCAACGCCCTCGCGTGCCCGAGTCCGAGTGCTGGAGCTGTTTGCGGCCTTGCGAACGTTGCCGGTCACAAGCATCGAGGTAGTGTCGAGTCTCCGCCTTTTTAACTTTCCCCCAGGGACTGGACTGGACCCTCTGTTTTCGTCCGGCCCCGCCGTTGCGTGGCGTGTTCTATTCCGCGTCATCTCACTCAGCCTTCAGCTACCTCCAGTCTGTCTCCGAGTCCTTCCAGACCCTTGAACAACGACGTCTCGTTAGTTAGGCCTCTCTTCGCAATAGTTGCCAAGCCGCCAGTACCCATCCGGCCTAGACGGTTTCCGCGCTCCACACTCGGGCACGAACCTCGTTGTCATCTGTACGCGCCAGTCCAGCAAGACTACCCGTCCAGCTACCGCCTCTTCCTTCTCTGCATACATTTTACCGTCCTGCTGGATCGCATCCCTCCCTGCTCCTGTGTGGCGCATTATCAAGTAAGGCTTTTATTATCTCTGCTCTTCATATATGCTCCCTTGGCCAGTCTTCAACAGCCCCTTCATGAGACGCCCACCGCCCAGATGCAAGTATGAGACCAAGTCGGGAACCACCACCATTTGCGGCTGCACTGCACCAAATTGTTCGCTACGGTGCTAGAAGACGGACCTGTCCCGCCGCAAGGCGCTCCTCTAGGCAAGAAGTCGGGTACCACAAAAGAGTAGCACAGCAGCAAAGTCACCTGTCCCAATTCGAAAGCATGGCCGCTCATCCCAGGCAGTGCGCTGCGGTGGTGGTTGAGACATTGCATGCGAATCTGCATCGGACAAGGGCTGCAGCTAGCACTGTCAGATTATCTCAAGAGCTCGAAACTTCTCTTCCCGCACTCTTCTGCATTTCATTACTCTTGCTCGAATTCCATCGCTAACCATGGTCTTGTCGTTAGGTCTCTTTTACCCCTCTGTTGGCGCTAGTGTCGGGCCGTTGGGTGACGTTTCATCTTTCTGGAGAAGGCAGAAGGGGTTGAACATCAAAAGGGTCTTATTGAACAAGAGACGTTCACGTGACGTCCGAGCACAATCAACAATACCACTCGTCGATGCGCACTATGATCCAGTTGTAGTATCTGAACGCGCCTGTACGAGCATTAGATTCAAACCTTTCCGAGCATCGCTTATCGATTCGAGCAGTGCTCCCAACCTCTCCGGTCAGCCCGTCCTGAGCGGCAAATCTTTGAGCGACTCTTTTTGCGTCCAGTCTCGTCATGCAGAGGCCCTGATTCCATTTCTGGCTTTACCTGTACAACATTTTACATCGCCACTTCTCGAGCCCCCCATTCACCTTGAACAAACACAAAAAATCCAAACCGAATTTGCGAGTCCGGCCAGCATGTCTCAGAGCCGGACAAACACCATTGATTCTCAGACGTCGGCGCCTTATATTGCGAGCCGGAACAGCAGCCAAACAAGTCTAAACCGTCAGGATGTCCAAGATGGCGGGACTGAGCGCCCCTCGACCACATCTACCCGGACGCCCGGCTCTGTATCTCAATCGCCAGCCACACTCGCAGGCTTAGGTACACCCGCAAGCTCCACAGCAGGGCTTTCGGGCCTGGTATGCAATGTACACCGAACTACTGGCAGAGAGCCCCATCCACTTGTGGGCGCAACCACAACTATTTTAGGCGACAAACTCTACGTCTTTGGTGGCCGAAGACTATCACGAACAAGGCCACAGCTGACGTCGGACTTGTACGAACTGGACCTTGTTAAGCGACACTGGACAAAAGTCGAGACCAAAGGCGATATACCGCCCCCACGATACTTTCACAGCGTTTGTGCACTAGGAGATACCAAGCTCGTATGCTATGGTGGCATGTCACCTGCGAACCCCTCATCAAACCAAGCCACTTCCGTAATACAAGGCGCGCCTGCTGATGCCCAACCGGAAGTTGTGGTCATGTCCGACGTTCACATTTACGATGCGCCTACGCGAACATGGATGCATGTTGCTACGAGCGACGCGCCACAAGGCCGATATGCTCATTGCGCCACCATTTTGCCGAGTTCGGCCGTATTCAGCTCAACGAGCGCTGCAGTAACCGCCATACGTCACAACCCACCTTCATCAAATCCGAACCAAGGGTCGCTGGGCGTTGATCTAGATGGCGAGGGTGGCGCGGAAATGCTAGTAGTGGGCGGTCAAGATAGCGCCAACCACTATATTGAACAGATTAGTGTTTTCAACTTGCGAAGCCTCAAGTGGACAGGAACTAGCACACTGGGTAGGAGTTGCGGTGCATATCGAAGCGTGGTCGCGCCATTAACCAGCATTCACCCAAGTGATATTGGCGAAGGAATACGACCTGGTGACGAAGGAAGAGCACCCGACGAACAGGAGACCAACACGAGCTACGAGTCTTCGATGCTCATTTACTCAAACTACAATTTTCTGGACGTTAAGCTTGAATTGCAAGTGCGGCATTCCGACGGTACTCTTTCCGAAAAACCAATGCATGGCAACTTCTCACCGCCTGGGCTCCGCTTTCCAAATGGTGGTATTATTAACAATCATTTTGTAGTCAGTGGCACGTTTTTAACTTCTTCCAAGCAAGAATACGCCCTGTGGGCGCTTGATTTGCGTACACTAAGCTGGGGGCGAATAGAAGCTGGAGGCAATATTTTCAGCCAAGGAAGTTGGAACAGAGGTGTGTTATGGAATCGTAGAAACAGCTTTGTGATTCTGGGCAACCGTAAGAGAAGTTTGGTTGAGGATTATAATCATCGACGCATCAACTTCTCGAACATGTGTGTCGTGGAACTGGAAGCGTTCGGATTGTACGACAACCCACGTAAAGTTACGCCCGCGTCAGGCTTCCAATCTGTAAGCGCGCCACCGCTGCATGACCGACTTGACGTGCTTGCTGGCGGCCGGATACTTTTACCTGCAGCCACCGAACTTGGACAAATGGCTCTGGGCATGCGGGAGTTTGCTGACATGGACTTTCTTGCCTTGAATGGCGAACGCATCCCCGTCAACTCGCATATGATTGCTCGGCGGTGGGGCCCATACTTCAATCAGCTTCTTCGCGAGAGTGCACAGAGCGCCGAGAAGGAGAGTGCCGATGCAGCGACGCTGCGGCCCACAGCCACTATGCATCCATCACGCAATTCGAGCATAACCATCACACCTTCTATCCGAACAAACTACTCAGCAGCCACAACACTCACGGCCAACACAATAACACAATCCGAGGCTACTGCAGTCTCAACAAACTCTTACTCTTCACTGAGTCCACCAGAAGCGTCATCACACGCACCTTCTCAACGGCCTCGGACACTATTCCTACCCCACACTCACCTTACACTTCAAGCATTGATACACTTTCTATACACATCATCCCTCCCACCACAAAACTCGCAACTATGCTCGCCACAAATACTCTGCTCTTTACTCCAATTAGCGCGGCCATATCATATCGACGGCCTGTTAGAAGCAATCATTGAACGTCTGCACACCTTGCTCGACAACCGGAACACGGCGGCCATCTTCAATGCTGCGGCCATGGCAGCCGGCGGCGGATCGGGCATCGCTTTCATGGGCGTCAACGGTGTCTCTGGTTCAAATGGAACGACAAACGGCTTTTCCACCTCTCAGCTAAACAACAGCGCCAGCTCTACAGACCTCGAACGTAGCTTTGACGCCGGACTACGTGCACTCCGCCTCAACACCGACATTGAGCGAAACCACGATGACGAAGTCAGCTCAGCTGTATCCGAATCCACCTCTGCATCGGCATCAGACAGCGGTCTTGGAGACAGCAGTGTGATTGGGGAGAGAGAAGTGTGGAACGGCGAGATTAGCGCCGTGGTTGGACTGCAGAAGCGTGGTCTCAGAGGATTGATGGAAGGCCGTAGGATCCGCGAGATGGGCAGGAGTAGGGATAGGAGTAGGGATGATGGCGGCATGGGCAACGGGGATGGAGTCGGGCTGGGCCTGCAAGGTGCTTGATTTCCATAACGTTGAGCAAAAGGCAACGGGTAAGAAGCGACTGAGGAACGAGAATGAGAGAGAGAAAAAGAACGTCCATCCGACATAGAACGATGTACTTTGGGGAAGATGTAACTTTTTTTGGTCTTTCGAGTGTGTTGTACAGTTTTTTCTAGGGTGAATATTGTTGCCAAGAGGTATGTTTTGTTGCGATATCTTGAAAGCTGGTTTTGAAAATGAAGTTAGATGAATGAATCAAGTATTGGAATAATATTTTCTTTTTGCCCACAAACCACACGTTACGTGATGAGCTAAATTTTTTTCTTCCTTTTAGGAGACTTTGTCCGGATGTCTCTCTCCATGTTTTGTCATTACTACGTACCGACATCGGAACAATGGCTCACAACCGGCATGTCAGAGATGAAAGACTGCTAGATCAAATTTCCACAAAAACCCACCAGTTGCAGAAAGACAAAAACAACCAAACGATGGGGACAAAAGTAACGATTGGCGGTATATGTCTATTTCCATTATCATGATCTATTCAATGTCATGGCCCATGTTCCTACAATGGACGAAACTAAATTCCTAGGCTTGCCGCCAAAAAAAAACATCTACACACATCTTGCTAAGAAAGTCGCCGACCTTGTTGAGCACTTAAGCGGCGCTAGTCTTCTCCTTTGCGAGCGGGGTGAACCGCAGGTAAGGCTTGACGATGCGGAAGTCAGGGAAGAGATCCTTGGCCTGCTCGTTGGAAACGGATGGGTGAACAATGACGTCGTCACCAGGGACCCCTTTGCAAACGAACACATATTAGCAGATTATCTTTTTTAAAATACTTCCCCTGAGACTACCTAGGAGAAAACATGCGAAAAGTAAAGAAAGGGGGAGGGGGGAACTCACAGTTAATGGGAGTGGTAACCCTGTGCTTGTCACCCGTCTGCAGACTGTCCAGCACACGCAGAACCTCGGCGGTATTCCTACCCGTCGACGCTGGGTAGCTGAGAATCAAGCGGATAGTCTTCTTGGGGTCGATGATGAAAACGGAGCGAATCGTGAAGGCAATGCCCTTCTGGTCGACATTGGTCGCGTCCTGGTGGTCCAGCATGTCGTACAGCAGCGCGACCTTGCGCTCCTTGTCGCCTATTATGGGGAACTTGAGGTTGCTGCCGGTGACCTCGTCAATGTCCTTGACCCACTCGTCGTGCGACTCGATGGAGTCGGCCGAGAGGCCGATGAGCTTTGTGTTGCGGCGCGCGAATTCTGGTTCGAGCTTTGCGAAGGCGCCGAGCTCGGTGGTGCAGACGGGGGTGCGGTCTGCGGGGTGCGAGAAGAGGATCACCCACTTGTCGCCGATGAATTCGTGGAAGTCGATGGGGCCAGCCGTGGTTTCGGCCTTGAAGTTCGGGGCGGTGCTGCCCAGGCGGAGGGGCTCAGAGCGTCCTTCGGCCATTGTGATTGTGGCGGTGCTGTGCGCGTTGGTATTAGGTTTGCTTTGGGGATGTGGCGGGGTAAATGGTAGGGATGGAGGGGTAAAGGGGAGCTCTGGTACCTTTTGACGTGGGGTATGGGGACTAGGGCTTGTTTGTGAAGGTTCTGCGATGAGTTTTTTCGCAAAGTTCGGAAAAGTAGAGCTGGTGATTGAGAGATTGAGGAATCGAGAGATTGAAAAATCGAGAGAAGAAAAGAGAATCCGCTGATGACTTATGGGCCGTTTTTTGGTTTCTCCAAGAGCCCTTCTCATCCTACCTTTGTAGCTAGCGTATATTGCGCAATCGACTCGTCCATCACGTGAATTCCACCATATCTTTTCTGCCACTCAGCTCCTCCCGTGTCAGCCAGGAAACAGTCGAATCACAGTCTCCGAGTCTCCGGCGGTGTCCAATTGCCAATGGTTTGCCCCTCGCGCCAAGGGTCTTTCGTCATTGAGGCCGGAAAGGCGAGATCGGTCATTGACCCTTTTTGTCACTCAACGTGGGGTTTTGCTCGAATCAAGTCGGAGAACGATAGAATTTTGCTGCCTTGGCGGGGAACAGAGACGAATAGAGCAGGGGTGATGACAGAAATGATCAGAGCTAAACTGCGTTCTTCGTGTCGTTCTAAGGTGCAGCTTTGCGATATCGTCTTCCCCGGGAACTATCCCCACGCGCCCCTCTAATAGGAACACTAATACATCTACCGGCAGTGTCTAGCAGGAGTAGTGTTGATGACTTCTATCCTCTGTAGCTGTCCTGATACTACCACTTTTGCCAAGTCCTAGCAACAGTTCTGTTCTTGTCATTTTGTTCGGGGCCTGCAAGTGTCAACATTGGGACTTGTGACCTCGATGGGTTTCCATTGCAGTGGTGTAATCATTGTGGCAAGGTATATTGGTATGGAGAGCCAAAACAACTACTGCTGATACTACGAGCAAGCTGCCTACATACAAACTCAAACAGTTCTCAGCAGAGTGCACTTTAGTGGTATCCTGGCCATAGCTCTCTTCTTGAGGATACAATCAATCTACGCAATCCTGCAGTACACCTACTGGTCAGAGTAAAAGAAAGGCACCCACAGAAATATTCTACCCTTTCAAGACTTGCAGCCTCGCCTACTTAGACTTCTCCTGCTTCGAATTAGCCAAAGCGTCGCCAGCCCTACGAATACAAGATGATTGGTGCATTTGCTGATGTTCTTGGCAGGGTAGGTGCTTAATCTGGGGTTGGCATCATAGCCATTGGTCCTATAAACGCACGGTTGAATCCCGCTATCGTTGCCAAAAGCACAGTTACCCCCCAACACGTAGTCAGCAAAGTTAATGACAACACACCCAAAACAAATACAAAAGCTCCTGTCATTGTCACAGAGCCTTAACTCCATGCTGTCAATAAGCTCATATTCAAGCAGACCCAAGCGATCCATTCCTAATGTCTTGACAGAAGATATCAATCCATATCCGACGGAAGACGTTCCGTCGGATGTGAAAGAAGGCTGGGTGTATTCGTACCCGTCGGGGAGCTGTGGGTCTCTCCGAAGGACCATTAACCACAATGAGATCATCTTCGGATGATGCATCGCATCTTTTTTGCCTCGACCGGTCCGTTAGCGCGAGGCGTCCTTGGCGAGCCCGCTTTCTACTTGATTCATGCTATTCCCGACCAATACCAAACGTTCGCGCCAGAGCCTACGGACATCTCCAGAGTCCGGCGCAACGTTCATTCGTCCCTCAATATGCACGCCGGGTACACGTGTGGGTTAAGCCCGTCGTACCCGCGCCGCTGGAGTTATGTGGTCTACATCTTTGATCAATTGCCGAGTCCGCCTTCATTCCCAATCCTCAACGCCCATGGTCCTGTAGCTCTCATACACGATTCTGGGCCGCGGAAAGAGGCTTTCAAGACAACATGAACTCTAATGCTAATCCAATCCACCCCGCTCAGATACATCCGGAGGGACCATTCCCGGATGATGATACCCCGGGAATAAGAGCAATGGAAATGGGCCCTGAGGGTACTGATCAACAAGAGACAGGCTATCACCCCGCTGCTGGATCAAGCAGTAACTCGGAAAAAGACAGAGACAGCAGGGTCTATGAAAGTGATCGGCAGTATAAATCACAAGAAAACATACAAGAAACAGAGATTGTCTGGCAGTATCTCACCTTTGATACCGAGCTTCCACATCCAACGACCATCTATCCACAAGAACCAAACCAACGACCACCACCTCCGCCTCCGAATCTTGCCAAATACACCAACCCCTTCGAATGGTCGGATAGAAGGAAGAGCGTCACAGTCTGGATATCATGCCTCATCACCAGTCTCACCGCTTTCTCGGCAGGAGCATTGAACCCAGCTATTCCACAGATGAGGAATGAATGGGGCATAAGCAATGTTGCTGCTTTGGTATCAATCACTACCTTTACCACAGGTTTCGCCGTTGCTCCAATGGTTCTAGCTCCCTTCTCCGAGATCAACGGTCGACGACCCGTCTTCCTCGCGTCTGGCCTTCTTTTTGTGCTCTGCCAACTATGTTCCGGTCTCACACGATCCTACGCTGGGTTGCTTGTCGCACGCTTCTGGTTAGGCGTTGGCGGCTCTACTTTCTCTACCATGGTCGGCGGTGTGGTATCTGACATATATCACACCGAAGATCGCAACACACCTATGGCTGTCTTTTCTGGGACAGCGTTATTCGGGACTTCCTTTGGACCCATGGTATGCGGCTTCATTGCACAGAACACGTCGTGGCGCTGGATTCAATACATACAGACGATAGCCTGCGGAACAATGGTTGCACTTATCTGTATCGTCTTCAAAGAAACAAGAGGCTCTGTCCTGCTATCCAGAAAAGCAAAGTGCCTAAATGAGTGGTACGCTGCCCGTGAGGAAGCAGGATACTTTGGGTTCGACGTCCATGATGAGAAGAAACCCGGGTCCACGATTTCTCAGCGCCTACGCTTCAAGGTCCGATCAGACGAGGAGCGCGCATCCCTCGGAACCATGATTGCCATTTCTCTCTACCGCCCCTTCCACCTACTCTTCACAGAACCCGTCGTCTTCTTTTTCTCACTCTGGGTCGCTTTTTCCTGGGCCATCCTCTACCTCGCCCTCGCTGCTATCCCCCTCATCTTCCGCAACAGCTATGGCTTCTCCATCCAACAGGCAAATGCCGTCTTCGCCTCCATGAGCATAGCCAGTATCCTTGCAACCATCCTCTCCGTCTATCAAGAGAAAATCGCAAAGAAATACGGCAAGACGTCCAATTCGCCCGAAGGTCGCTTGTACTTTGCCTGCGTTGAGAGCGCTTGCATGCCAATCGGACTCTTCATGTTTGGCTGGACCAGCTCTGCCGGGCTACATTGGGTGTTGCCCGCGATATCCATTGGCATTGCTACCGTTGGCATCTTCTCGATTTACCTGGCTACTTTCAACTATCTGGCTGATACTTATCATCGCTATGCAAGCTCAGCGTTAGCTGCCCAGTCCTTTTGCCGTAACATGCTCGGCGGCATATTTCCCTTGATCACGACGCAAATGTATAATAAACTGGGATACGGCCCCGCAAGCAGTTTGTTAGGCGGAATCGGGGCTTTGCTGACTGTTGTGCCGTGGATACTGGTTTTTTATGGTCCGCGGATTCGTGCCAGGAGTAAGTTTGCGAGCGAGATCATGACTTGAGTGTTTCTCTCTTTTTTTTTGTTTCGTAGGAGGCCTTTTAGATACCCTAGCATAGCCAAGATAGAAAAAAAAGATGTGTTTTGATCTTACCAGATGGACGGCAAAGCCTTGTGCAGTACATCTGGACTCAATCGTGAACGAGCATGGAAGAGACTTCAATCGAAAAGGACAAAATGAAACGTAGTATTTCTTTCCCAATTATGACCCAACTGAACCATCCTTTTGGAATTACAGATGATTTCGAAGAACACAATTCAGCAGCTGGCCTCGAACATCATCCACTAAACTAAATATGTAAACGAACAATAACCCCCTCCCATTTATGCGAATGCTAGGCCACAGAAACCCAGCCTTACTCCTCCAAGTAAGAAAGCTTACGCATCTCGCCCAGCCTCGTCCTAGCCTGCGCAAGCGCATTTTCAAGCTGAAGAATCTCAACCTATAACAGCATGTTAATAAAATTTCCTTCTGAGAAATAATCAGACTGTCACATACCTGCTGCTCCATCTGCCTGACTTTGAATTCGTGATCACCCAACTTGCTGTAATCCACAACCTCGCCTTCATCCCTGTTCTTCTGGGCAATAATCTCCTGCACCTGCCTAACAAGCGACCTGCAAGCGGCGGTGACAGTCTTGGACGCGCTCTCGAGCTTGTCTTGCGTCTTGCTCATGAAGCTAGCCTTGACACGACTGGCAGCCACCAACTGGGCAGTGGAAGCAGCGACGTCGTTGGAAGCGACGATAAGTTGCTCGGGAGAGTTGCGGCCGGAGATGACGCCGTCGGCGGTTTCGATAAGCATGTTCGTTGAGTTGGCAACGGCTTTGGCGGCGCTGATGAGACCTTCGGTCCAGCGGTTGTGCTTCTTGTAGAATTGTGTCTTGGACATGCTGCCACGGCCTTCGCGCACAATTTCTTGCTGAGATGCAGTTGCGGCTTTGATGAGCTGCGCAATGGCATTTGTGACCGCAATGGCGGCTTCGAGAATAGAATCATGGATCTTGAGCTCATATGTCGAATATGAGTCTCTGGGCTTCTTCATCAACTTAGCCAGACGCTCAGTGGCTGCATCGATGGCGTTAGCAGCCTTGGTCAGCTCGCTATCGACCAAGTCGCCAAGATCGCCTGAAGCGTTGGTGATCTTGCTCTTAGGCGCAAAAGCATCTGCAAGCTTAGACAGACTCTGTAAGTTGCGCACCACCTCCGTGCTATTGTTGATGACGACATTGATCTTCTGTTCGGCGTCCAAATCATATAGGCGTACTGATTGAACATTACGGAAGAACCTAATAGTCGAAGTTGCAGAGGCTCGTGCTGCGTTGATAAGTTGATCAGCCTTGTTTTCGTCGGAAGCAAAGCGGGTCAATCCCTTGGTGTTCACCAGTACATCGACAATAGAACCACCATAGTTGTTGACAGCGTTGATAACCTCGGCGTGCTTGGCGTTCGGTCCATCAGCGATGAAGTTGTTGAATGCTGTCGAAAACTCCATTGTGCATGTTGATGCTTTCTCGATTTGTGAGAGAACGTAGGAACCAGTGGCATTCTGATTACCAGCCTGCATGGGAGAGTCCAACTCGTACAGAGCATCATCAACCCGCTGTACACCACTTTGTAGGACAGAGTCGATAATGTCGTTGATCTTTTGGAGGCTGTCTTGGATAAGAGTATCCAGATGACCGTCCAGGACGTTGTCATTCGTGCTAGAGTTAAGCTTCAGCTCGTTCAACTCCAGTAGGGTTTGGTCCATGCCGGCGCGGAAGATCTCAAGCTCTTCCTCCTTCTCGCGCAATTGACGTTCCAGATCAGAGTCACCCTCGCGGTACTTCATCTGGACTTCATCCAATGCGCGAGTCTTGTTCCGTAGAGCTTCTTCCAAGTCTGCGATCTCGCGGTTATGTCTTGAAAGCATTGCAGACAGTTCTGAACCCTTGCCACGCTCAGCGTTGTCCGCGCGGTCCAAAGCAGAGCGGAGCTCGCGCTTGAGTTTCTCAATCTCCTCGCGATGGCCTCCCGTGTGGCGATCCTTATCCATGAGCGCACGGTCACGCTCACGAATCATGTCGGCAAGCTCCAAATTCTTGGTCTTAAGCTCTCGTTGCAGTTTGTCCCTTGCGTCGATGGCTTCCTGGGCTGAGTTGGCCTTGAGTTGGACTGACTTGAACTTCTGTAGCAATTGGAGGTGCTCAGTTCGCAGCTGCGAATAGAGCTTGGCTAGTGACTCGTATTTCGACCGCCAGGTGTTGAGCTGTTCCTGGAGCGCTCGTATCTGGTCGTCTCGCGAACCCATTTGTTGCTGGAAATTCTGATTCATCTGGCTGATTTCCCCTTCAAGAGCCTTCATTCGTTGATCGTATTGTTGCAACATGAGCTGATCGCGTTCGTACTGGGCGCGCGCATTCAGATTCTCACGCTCCAGCTCAGCAAGGCGACCCTGTGTCTGTTGCTGATACTGCTCGCGCATAAGCTGTTCTTGCGCCAAACGAGCTTGTTCAGCCTGAAGCCTTTGCTGCTCCTCAAATTCGCGCTGGGCTTGCAGCTGCATCTGTTGCTGTTGTTGTTGTGCCTCTTCCCATTGTTTCTGTAGCCTCTGCTGTTCTGCCTCATATTCCTCTTGCTGCCTCCTCTGGTTGTCCTTCCAGAACTCGTTGATAGGCTCAGGGTCGACCGAAGGCACACGAGGTTCAGACTCGGCAGGCTTTTCATTTTTAGGTCTCGCAGGCAAAGCAGGTGCGTTTTCGTCTTCGGATAGAAGGTTCGGCGGCTCTTGGGGCAGTTTCGGTACTGTGATGAGACTCGTCAAGTATCGGAGGTTGGAGCATTCGTAGTAGAACTTGACGAGACGGTAATGCTGCGCATCGTATCGGCCACGTAAGGGAGAGAGCGCCTCATCATCACCGAGAGCTGTGTGGCTTAGTTGGGTTCGCAAGTTAACCGATGTTCTAGGGACTTACTGGTATGCATTGCACGGAGCATGCTGGTAATGAACTTATAAATACCATAGCTCTCCTGGACTAATGGCACCAGCGCAGCGATCCTACACTCATTGTTCGTCCCACTTCGGAAGTGGGAAAAGATGAGTTTTTGGAAGGCGTCAATTTGATCCTGAAGGGTCATAAGGTCGGAGATGGTCTCATAGCCTTCGTTAGGGTCGTTGATGGATTTCAAACTGATGTACTCCTCGTACTCAAAAGTTCCTGTCCAAGATCAGCCCGGCCATTTGGGAATTTGCAGTTGTCTCTCGCACCATTGAATTCTGGATGTTGCCTGTGGAACGCAAGCTTGGCCAGGAGATAGTAAATGTATTCTGAGATGAGCGGCGCATATCCTCGCATGCCCTCACCAACAGTAGAGCCTCGCGACAAACTCTCGAGCCAGCCAGTATGCGACTGCGCTTCCTTGAGCACGATGGGATGACCCTCCTGAAGGACTTTGTGGATGGTGATGAGCGCCTTGAACGTCTGTACCTCGTCGGCGAGAATTGGCTGCCTGTTCTTGCGTTTAGCCCCGGGGGAGGTTCACGTATAGTCATGGCGCATAGCAAACAGGCGGGGAGTTGACCTACACTTTCATGCCTTGCCAGAAAGAAGCCGAGCTCTTGTGGTCCCAGGTGTAGACAATGCATGCTCGCACGTGCTTCCCTGCGCAGATTCGTGAGTATGGGCGACATAAGACGGATGTTCACGGACGTACGTTTGGGTGAGACCTCATCGATACTTGTCGCTTTGCGAACGCTGACGGCCAACTCAGATTCTTGTCTAGACACGTTTGTTAGCCCCTAGAGTCGCCAGGCCAGCAGAAGGTATGTCCAAGGTGTCCTTGGGTAGGCATTCATGGCCACAGTACGTACTTGCCCATGTCGACATTGCGTGAGCTTCCGTAGAGCGCCATCTTGGTGGCTGTGAGCTCCTTCTCAAGCTACTCGGTGGTGGTTTCAGGTGGTCGAGGGAATGGGCAGAATCGGGGTCGGAAGGATAGAATGTGGTCAAAAAGTATAATCAGAGCCAAAGAAGAGTGGGAGCCTGATTATCTGGTTTGGCTGTGCCGTCGGCCATGCCAGGAGCTCTCGTACCCAACTACGCCTGAACCTAGGACCCTAGGAGGTGGCTCGTGCTCCTTGGCGCTTCGTCATCGCCTTTACCCGCGAACTCTTCTCCGCGCGGGCTGCCCGTCACCGTCTCCCCTGACCTACATACATGAACGGCTGCCTTGGATATGGGCTAACAACGCATACGCGGCTGCATGCGCAATCGCCTCGAATTCTGAGCTGGCACCGTGTAATGGAGGGTGAGTGAGCTCCCGCACAGCGAATAGGGCTGCATGGTCTAGAAGGCCCTCCCAGCCATACCAATCACGCATGGCCAGCGCAACCGTCATCAGAAAACTACTATGTCATTTTACTCGATATGTCCAGATGTGGCCCCAGGGTATAAACGCCATGCAATGCTACTAACATAAATCAATGTCCTATGACAACTCAAATTACCTCACTTTTGCTTCCCTTGGAAAGGTATGCTGCCATCGGGTCAGCCGCCATTGTACGCTTTCTGCGGTATTCCTCCATCTCCTCTTCGTTCACTTGGCCAGTCATCTCATCTAGCGCCCGCTTTCGACTCGCTGCATTGGCCTTTGCTTTCTGGGCCTGGTCTGGAGCGTTTGGTACATGCTCCTCCAGAGCTTCGGCTTCCTTCCATGCAATCTCCTTTGGCACTTCCTCGAGATCAGCACCAGTTCGCATTCGATCCGCCAGTTCAAATGCTTCCTTGCCTGCCTCGCCCGTACAATATGAGTTCTTGACCGTTGAATGACAGCATGCAAAACCCCATTGGAAATTGGACCACCAACTGCCCCAAACAGATGTGTGGTTGTTGAGCAGAACATCTTCTGGGTATTTTGACTTTGCCTTGACTTTCGGTGCACCCTTGATGCCTCCTCGCTCGTCGTACTCAACGTACCGCTCGTTCTCTGTCACGGCGGCCTTGCGCAGTGTGTCACCAGTAAACTTCTCTTGGGTTCCATACTTCTCGGCCAGCGCCTTCTTCTTGGCTGCCGCAGCCTCTTCGGCCTCCTTGAGTTGCTTCTTTCTCATAACCTCGCCCGATGTAGGATTGGCTTGCAGATGAATCTTGTTCTTATCTCCACGCTCTTGTGTTTCCCAGGCGTACCGCTGTGCCCTTTCAAACTCGGCAGCATCTCCAGAGGCCTTCATGAAACCTTCCTCAGCCACTAGCTGTGCCGCACTATCCGCTGTTGCGCCGCTGTCGACCATGGAACGCGTCTTGGGATCGTATTTCGCTGAGTCGAGGTCCAGATTGAGTAGGTACTTTGCAGTATCTTCTCGTAATCGCAGGTTGCGTGTGGATGTGGCCTGTTTCCTACCCATGTCGGTCTCGGCATCGTATTTATCGCCCTCGTCCTCGTCTGACTTGTCGCCCTTCTCTGCCTCTTTTGCCTTTTTGCGAATTTCCTCCATGGCATTGTACTCCTCAATAACCTCAACGAAGTTTGAGGCATCGTAGCCATTCCAGCGGTCGCGTTTTGCATCAAATCCCAGCTGCACGTCTTGAATAACCTCATCCGCCTCGATATTTTTGCCTGTGTACTTTGCGCCTGCCTTGCGCGGCCGGCTCAGGCAGTCTTTCTTCTTGTGGGTCATGGCTCCGCAGTTCTCGCATGCGCCTTTGCGGAACTTTGTTGCAGCTGGACCGGCCTTCTTGCCGCGATCGTACCATTTGGAGTCCTGTTCCTGCTTCTGGAGACGTTGGTGCTCGAGGTAGTCGGTGGTGTCCTCGCCATTCTCGTCGACGGCATAAAAGGGCTTCTTGGAGATGAAGGAAGGAATGTACTCGTTGCGTTCCTTCGCGGCAGCGGACACGTCGGGCTTCTTGGGTTGTGAGGGCGGCATGTTTGGTTCTATAGGGTACCTGAGACGTGTCTGATGGTCGCCAGGTGGATGGTTGTTGAAGCTTTCCGTCGCCGGACCGGCGAAAGTAGAGAGCTAGCGCCATAGGGCTGAGGCGGCGATCTTGAATATCACGTGAGCACGCGACCCGTGTTGCGGTGCACCGCGTCAGGTTTTCTACGCCACCAGCAACTAATAGTGCGCGTGCTACGTCCGCGCCCGGTTTTGAGTGACAGCGAAGACAATGCAAGACTCTTCTCTCAGACACAACTCCTATGCTCTGGCTGTGTCACCATGGAAACGTTTCGCTTTCGCCTTAATTGCATCGACAACTACCAGGCTGCGCCCACCGATCTCGATCCTGTTCTCCGACGCAGCCCTGGGCTCTCAGGCAGATTAGGCGCGCCTGAAGTGCCTGTCATTAGGGCATTTGGGGCGACTGAGACTGGCCAGAAGGTGTGCGCTCATATCCACGGGGCATTACCCTATCTGTATTTGGAGTACGATGGAAGCCTGGAAACTGATGTTGGTAGGCGGAGTACTACTACATCGCCGACATGGTCTTGGTGGGCTGACAGCATATAGTCAATTCGTATATCTTAGACCTCCGCACTTCAATCGACCAGGCCCTTGCCACCGCTTACCGACGGAACACTCTTGATGGAAAATCAACATATGTTGGCCACATCTCGTTGGTCAAGGGCGTGCCTTTCTACGGCTATCATGTGGGATACAAAACATTTCTCAAAGTCTACTTGCTCAATCCTATGCATATGACCCGATTCGCCGACCTCCTTCACCAAGGTGCTATCTTGAACCGAGTTTTCCAACCATACGAAAGTCACCTACAATATCTCCTACAGTGGATGTGTGACTACAACCTGTATGGATGTGACTACATCGATTGCGCTAAAGTGCAGTTTCGAGGGCCTGTACCCGACAGCGGTGAGGTGGACACTACCATACACAAGTGGCACGATGCATCTATTCCAGACGATTTCATGGCGGACGAAGACCAATATCCACGTCAAAGCCACTGCACTCTTGAAGTTGATATTTGCGTTCAAGACATCCTCAATCGGCAACAGGTGAAATATCGCCCTATCCACCACGACTTTCTAGAGCGGTCGAGCCAAATGCTTCGTAATCCTGATGATAAGTTCGTGCCGTCTATGGCCGGTCTTTGGAGAGACGAAACCCGTCGACGCAAGCTTCGCATGGGTCTAACCGACCCTTCTAGCAGTCCGTTCCCTGCCGAAGTGCTAGTATCAATGTCAGCAGATACACGCGACACCAGGAAAGGCGGATGGATACACGAAGATGAATATAGGGAAATTGTTGATGGTTTAATTAAAGAAGAACATCAGCACAGTGGTGAAATAAGTTTTGACACATTCATCAACCCAATTGCAGGCCAAGATGGCATTAAGACTGCTGTGGAGAGCATCGAAGATCTCTATCCTGAAGTTTTGTCTTCACAAAGGCTCGCATATTATGACCTGGAGCGTCAGGTCGAAACATTCGAGGAAGACAAAGTTCATGATTTAGATGGAGCTGGGTTACTATCAGATGACATGGACCTATTGCCACAGTATCAGCACGACGATTCCATTCTTAGCGATGACGATAGCCAAAATCAGGTAGATGGAGACAATCAGTCTGATGGCGAGGAACTCCCAATGGACCCTCTCACTGTATCCCTGCTACAAGCCTCCAATGAAACGACGGGACATGTCACACTCACAGACGAAGGTATCGATCTGATTGATCCAAGTGACGAGGATGAGCCACCAAATTCCAGCAGCCCCAACTCCATGCGCAAGCGCCATATCGAGTTTACCGATGAAGATTACAACAAGCGTCAACGGATTTTACAAGAAATGCAAGGCACCCCCCGTCGTGTCTCGTTCCGTAATGCTCTCGGTAAAGACAGCGATAGAGCGGCAGGCGAATCTCAGAAAGGCAATTGGGAAGAGGCCCCCCCAGCAGGTCAGGTTTCTCAAGCAAGCATCAAAGCTCAAGGGTTTGGGGGGGCCACTACACTCTCTTTTCCAGTAGTGAAGAATCCGAATGCACCCGAGACTGTTCATCGCCTTAGTCAGTCAGGTTACTCTAATTCTCAAGAGGGCCCGAAGACACCTCGTGCTAAGTATCTCAACGTCAGGGCGTCACAACGCTCTCCTGTTACTCCTTGGACACATCAAAAGACGTCACCAGCACTGCCTAGCAGCAGTGCACCAAAAGCTCGCTCGCAAGCTACAGCTTTGGTGAAGAAGCTGGACAAGTCCTGTCAACATCATCGGTCCACAGTATATTATGCGTTTCTACCTCCAACGGTCGAGATGGTTGACAGTACTATGATGGAGGCCGGCTTACCACCGGTAATCTATCAAGATGCATATTATAGTGACGAAAAAGACGTCCCGGACCGTCCACGTGAATACGCAGGTAGGCAGTTCAAATTACAGAGTACTACTCTGCCATATCTTCCTCCATTCGACCCAGTCGGCGCATCACTTGCCAACATTGGAGAATACCCGCCGGTTGTGGTAGACAAGAGGAAGCAAGTTACAATGTATCAAGCAAGGTCTAAACGTTGCAGCTTGCGCCATTGGGAGCTCTCAAGACCTCCACCTTCTTTTAAAGAAGTAGAAGATTGGACGCTTTGTAAAGCGAAACAACGTGAGACTTTGAAGTCCAACATGAAGACAACTGTCGCGCCCATATTACACGAATTCGAATCTTCACGCCATCATTCACAAATTGAAGGCCCAACGCAGAAGAATCCTCACGGCTGCAAATATTCGCAGAAACAAAACAGCGCCAGTGTAAGGCACCAATCCCAGTACATGAGCATTATGAGCTTGGAGGTTCACGTAAACTCTCGAGGATCATTGTTACCTGATCCTGCTGAGGATGAAATACAATGTGTCTTTTGGAGCATTCAAGACGAAGAGAATGTGGTTACTGATCGACCACGCAAAGGTATACTGTGCTTCTCTGACAAAGACGGCATAGCCGTACGCATCGCCAAGCAGGTCTCAGTAGAGGTCGAATACGAAGAGGACGAGCTGGACCTTATCAATCGCTTGGTTGATATTGTCCGTCAGTTCGATCCAGATATTCTCACTGGATACGAGGTGCATAACAATTCCTGGGGGTACCTCATAGAACGGGCTAGAACGAAGTACGAGTACAACCTTTGCGATGAGATCAGCAGGATGAAGTCACAGTCGTATGGAGGATTTGGTAAAGAAGCAGATCGCTGGGGTTTCACGCATACATCCACTATCCGAGTCACTGGCCGTCACATGATCAATATTTGGAGAGCTATGCATGCTGAGCTAAACTTGCTGCAGTACACGATGGAGAATGTGGTATTCCACTTACTACATAAGCGTATTCCACATTACCAGCACTTAGATCTTACCACATGGTACACGAATGGGAAGCCTCGAGATCTCGCCAAAGTTCTGGACTATTTTATTACTCGTGTTCAGCTGAACTTTGACCTTTTGGAGGCCACCGATATCGTGCCACGTACCAGCGAACAGGCACGTTTACTTGGAATTGATTTCTTTGCCGTCATTTCTCGAGGTTCGCAATTCAAAGTGGAGTCCACCATGTTTCGTATTGCAAAGCCAGAGAACTTTATCCTTGTCTCGCCGAGCAGGAAGCAAGTCGGTCGACAGAACGCGCTGGAATGTCTACCTCTAGTGATGGAACCCCAAAGTGCTTTCTATTCTAGCCCGGTAATAGTGCTAGATTTCCAGTCGCTGTATCCTAGCGTCATGATAGCGTACAACTACTGTTACTCCACTTGTCTTGGACGAATTGTTAGCTGGCGCGACCGCAACAAGATGGGCTTTATGGACTTTAAGCGTGAACCTCAACTACTGGAACTGGTCAAAGATCATATCAACATCGCCCCGAATGGTATGATGTACGTCAAACCAGAGATGCGGAAATCCTTGCTGGCGAATATGCTTGGCGAGATCTTGGAGACTCGAGTTATGGTCAAAAGTGGTATGAAGGAGGACAAAGATGACAAAACCCTTCAGAAGTTGCTGAACAACAGGCAGCTGGCATTGAAGCTGCTAGCCAACGTCACTTATGGTTACACATCCGCTTCGTTTTCAGGGCGCATGCCATGCTCTGAAATTGCCGACAGTATTGTTCAGACTGGTCGTGAGACCCTTGAGAAGGCAATTGCAATCATTCATGCGACAGAAAAATGGGGCGCAGAAGTCGTCTACGGGGATACAGATTCGCTTTTCATCCATCTTAAAGGGCGCACAAAAGACCAAGCTTTCACAATTGGCGAAGAGATTGCCGCTGCTATCACTGCTGCGAACCCACGGCCCGTCAAACTCAAGTTTGAAAAGGTGTACCATCCTTGCGTGCTACTCGCCAAAAAACGTTACGTTGGCTTCAAATACGAGCACAGAAACCAAAAGGAGCCAGATTTCGATGCAAAAGGTATCGAAACTGTACGTCGAGATGGCACGCCTGCAGAGCAAAAGATTGAAGAGAAGGCGCTCAAGCTCCTTTTCCGGACCTCAGACCTCAGCCAAGTAAAAAGCTATTTTCAAGAGCAGTGCACCAAGATCATGGAAGGCCGTGTCAGCATCCAGGACTTTCTCTTTGCCAGAGAAGTCAAGCTCGGGACGTACTCCAACAAAGTGCATCTGCCACCTGGCGCCCTCATTGCTACAAAACGCATGCTTGCCGACCCACGTGCAGAGCCTCAGTATGGCGAGCGCGTCCCCTATGTTGTCATTACCAGCGCACCAGGAACCCGACTCATTGACCGCTGCGTCAATCCAGAGATGCTACTACAAAACGATCATCTGGAGCTCGACGCCGAGTACTACATTTCCAGAAACCTGATCCCCCCACTCGAACGCATCTTCAACCTTGTCGGCGCCAACGTCCGACAGTGGTACGACGAGATGCCCAAAATACAACGTATACGCAACATTTCAATTCCCATTGCACCGAAACACGACAACAATGACGATATCCTCATAGGCGGTGGACACAACTCGCTCAAGAAAACACTAGAAAGCTACATGAAATCCTCAAACTGTCTCGTCTGCCGTTCGAAACTATGTCCCCCATCCTCTACACACTTTTCCAGCTCTGCATACGCCATGCTTCCGCTCTGCGCAAAGTGCGTCAAACGTCCCGTTCACTCACTACTTGCGCTCAAGTATCGCATCTGGAATAGTGAGACTCGGATGAAGGAGGTGGATGCCGTTTGTAGGCGCTGCGCGAATCTAGCGTGGAATGAAGAGATACGGTGCGATAGTAGGGATTGCCCAGTGTTTTATAGTCGGATCAAAGAGAAGAGTCGGTTGGCGGCGCTGAGGGAGAGCGTAGGGCCGGTTGTCGAGGTCATGGAGGGTACAATGGATGGGGAGGATGAGGAAGAAGGTGAATATGTGGGGAAGCGAGGAAATGGCGATGACCTTGCATGGTAGGAGTAGGAGTTTTTGTCTGTTTGGAGTGAAGCTTTGTATACCCGGATAGACTTTGATGTGAGATAAACGAAACGACGAACGATGTCTTTACTCTTCTTTGCGTAAATCAGTAGTCAACATGTTTTTTTGTTTTGCGAAACCAATTGAAGTGATGCTCTGCGTGTAAACACGCTTACAGCGTTTCAGATATTTTAAATTTACATGGAAGTTCTTTTGTAAAGCAGAAAAATATGCAAACAATCTCATCAGCCAGAATATCTACACGGAGAAATAACCAACCATCTCGCAACATAGCACAAATGCAACAAATGTCAACCTCAACCTACCATGCACGCTAAAAAAACAGCTCAATCAGCTCCACCACGCCGTATCTCCCACTCCTCCGCAACATCCTTGCTTTTTCCTATTCATATCCTTGCTTTTTCCCCTTCCCACCCGCGCCCATCCTCCTATTCATCCAACGATTCCTCTTCCTCCCAACCCCAACTCTCATTCTCCCAGCCCTCCCAAGCTCCTCCTCGGCAACCCCAACCTGGCCCTCCCCTCATTAACTCTCTCCAGCGCCTCCCTCCTCCTCCTCAACGGCAAACTCTCGTACTCCATCTGTAGTGTCCTCGTCTCCCTGCGCCAAGCCAGCACCCTCTTCTCGTTGCTTTTTTGTTTCGCACACCCTGCGGTGGCTGTGGGATCCGCGTTGGTGCATAGGGATGTGGTTGAACCTGCGTGGCTGGCGCTGTCCAGATAGGGTATGTGTGGCTGCACGGTAGTGGTGGAGTGCCATGGCGAGGATACTTTGCGGATGGAAAGGGGGAAGGTGGTGCTGGATTTTAGAGCAGAGAAGAGACGCGTGGTAGAGGAGGGCGTAGGGCTGCGGGGTGGGGTGCTGATGGTGCTGGATGAGGAGGAGGAGAGGGAGTCGTTGAGAGAGGGGGTTGGGGAGGGAGGGAGGGCGGACCAGCGTTTGAAGTAGGTCATTGCCATTTGTCGAAGTGTTTGGGTTGGATTTTCGGATTGTTTGGTTAATGTTGGAAAAAGGTTATGGCGTTGATGGGAGAGAGCGCATGGAAGGAATGAGTGTAAAGAGTTTGAATAAAAGGTTTGCAAGAAGATTAGAAGATTAGATATTCATCTGTGAAAGATTTTTACGACAAAAATTATTTTTGGGAAACATGGGAAGACATATGCGCGAACCAATATTTGAGTCCCTGTGCCCTTCCCCTCCCAACAAGCAAAAGTTGTTCTGAAACAGGATTTGTTTTTGGGGGTAAACAGTGGTTCACAGTTTGCTCGCCTAAAGATTCTGTTTTCCGTGGTTTGAGTTTTACTTTTTCTGATAAGTACGCCGTATTTCGGAAATTATCTTCGCGCCATTTACCTCACACGGGAACATTTTTCGTGAATGAAATGGGCTTCGGTAGTTGTAGATGAGCACCTTGACTTTGCAGATCGCATCAATGGCTTCGGTTCTTATCTGGGCAGCATGTACTGGGTCAATTTTTCAAAGAGACTTTAGTCACGCCATGGTTCTATACAATCACTAGCTCTTCTACCTTGTCAGTCTCAGGCTCCCCAAAACATTCCGTCGTCATCGTTGTAAAACCGATTCTTTTCCACACATTCTCTTTCCCTTCCAACTCTACCCTCTTCAATACAAGTCCCGACGCATACACCACGTCGTGGATCCTTTCCCTGTCCCTCATAATCTCTAAACACTTCACCTCCTCATTAGATCTTAACTCCTCGTAGTCGTCTTGTGCATCCAGCACCACAAAACACTCCGCCCCGAGTCTATGAAGCCGGACCCTACCATCTGACCCATAACGTGATATCTCCTCTTTTTCATTATCCAGCCACATAACAGTTGTCCATCCTTTGATCCTCATCTCGGCCGCTTTTACCGGCCCAAATGGGTCGTCCGTTGCCAGTTCACATTGCACATCTAGCACCTCTGCTAGTTCGTGTGTCTGTGACGTTGGGATTGCTCCCGGGTAATAATACCACACGACGCCACCACTGCGACTTGCCCATGACCATGAGGGCGCCAGATAGGTTCCCTTGGCGTGATGTGAGCTCTTACATGTATCATACGCCTCCCATTGAAGTCCAAGAAGAAGGTTGTGTGACCAAAGGCCTGCGTAATATGTCCCCAATCTAGGGCTGATGGCTTTGGAAAGACTAGAGGATGCTGGTAGAATGTCTGTAGAGTAAGTGAGGTCTTTGGCAGTGTAGTTTTCAACGAGGGCGGTATTTACTTCCCAGAGATTGTTTCGGGCTTTTTCGAAGTATTATCTTCCTGTCATAGATGGCACTGGTCCAACATTGTCAGATTCAGATTCAGCAGCATTCTCAGCTATTGATCCGGACTGAGATGAATTGGAAGGTGGGGAAGTAACAGCGTCGTCAAACGCCCTCAATGCCTTGGGTAATAGGCTCTTTAAATGAGACCATGTGCTCTGAAGGCCTCCGATTTTCTCCCGTAAGCCCCTCTGGCATTCACAGTCTACCATTTCGCCACATTCAAAGTACGACTCTTCGTGATCTCCCCCAAAATGTAGGATCCGCTGCGCGAACAGCCGTTCCTGGAAACACCACGCGCGTCCCCAGTAGGACGCGGTATCCTGAGCTGGGTTGAAAAGATTTTCGTGTTGCGGGATCGTCCTCGCAAACACCGGGGTACCGGGATCAATGTTTGGCTGTAAGGGCGGTGGTATTATCCGTTTTGCTCCGTAACGGTTGAAGAATAATTCAGGGCCATGTGCGGCAATGACGAGTGCTGATTGTGCATAGATTTGCCCCATGTGCGGCGCCTCGGCTGCAAAGTCGAGCGCATCCTCTTGCAAGATACATAGGGAGTCTATCCATATGTAGTCATAGCCTAGGCAGATACAGAGCAGTACAGTGTCGCGGAAGACGGGTGAGAGAGAGCCCCAAGGAACAGAGGCAAGGTGAGCCGTCAAATTAGCGGCCGTGGTTTTGAGCGGCCGGGTATATGACCAACAGTGGCTAACTGCAACATATGTGTATTTCTCGGTTGGGGAAGTGTGAAAAAGTTGAAGAGTAGGGATACCGTATTCAGGTGCAGGGGCGAGATTTATCTGGAGTAGGCGGCTGGGAGGGCGTGCGTTAGGAATTGTATTGCAAATCTTGTGATTATGGGGGCATTCATTGATCCAACTTCTGAATAGATCGAGGGTCGGAGCTGAAAGGACGAAAGAGGAAATGTGGGGTGATGGAGGGAAAGCTTTCCAGGGGCTAGGATTTTCTATGCACGATTAGTCGAACTTTGACTACAAAGCAAAAAGCAGCCTGAAGGTAAAATTCGGATAAAACTTTGTCGGGACAAATTACACAGCAGCAAGAGCGAACATACCAAGGTCAGAATAGAAATCAAGCTGAAAAACGTTCTCTTTTCTCCCCACGCCTGCATGCGAGATTGGAGGCACCTGTAACCTGACTTCAAACTTACTCTTTCTTTCCTTTCCCAAATGTAAGATGTACAATCATTATTTCTGCATCTACCGGCTGTTCTGGAAATTGCTCTGGTATTTTGTCGACTAAACGCTTGTGTTGCATGAACTGACTCTCATTCCACCGTAACTCATCCCATTTGGGTTTCCAGTCGTTTGCAAACTCGTTGATTCCCTGAAGGATAATGGAGCAGAAAGCATTATCTGTGGATCCGGAAATTAGTTTTGCTAGACTCGTAATAACCAAGTGCTCTCTTCCATTCTCGTCACCATACTCTAGTTCAGAGGTTATGGGTGGATGAATCATCACTTTGCATGTGCCTGGGACAGCGTCTTGGTCGTCTGAGTGAATGGTTAGGCTACCCTTGGCATTGTGGATTCTTTGGCTAGAATACATGATTAGCATACGAACAAGATTACCACAACAAAGCCAAGACGATGATGCGCGTACTTCCTGGTATATGTCCCTGGCCCGCCTGGCTTATCTCTCTTGAAACGGAGCCAGCGGTTGCCGTCACTGGTCTTTTTGCAGGGGAGACCGTTACGGAAAATCCAGCTTTCCATTCCGAAAGCAACCTCATGGCGCATGAGCACAGGCTTAGTAGTCTCGCCAAGTTCGTCATCGACTGGTTCTAGTTGATTGTCGGTTTTGACGTTAGATAGGCAGGCCATTTTCATTCAAGGATAACACATATGCTGATGTTGTGACACTGAAGCTAGCTGGACTGCGCAGCGTATATTTCTGGACCTGATAGGCAGCTGGATGCGGGGCGTGTCGATGCATAATTGCCTACGTAGCTGCTGCGGCTGAAGAAAGAACCATCAAGTGGCGCAGAAAGCTCGCAGCCACAAGACTAAGACTTTTCCAAGTCAGAAGGCGTGGCGGGTATTTGCAGAAAATTTTGAGACGGGTGTTTGGATATCAAAAACATATCGACAAGGCAGGCACCAAAGAGTGTGGAAAGATGAGGGCACGTACAGCTAACCGACAGCATAGAAAGAAGAGCAAATGCTCGACGGTTGTGCTGAAATTTGAAGATCAAGATCGAATTCGCTAGTAAAACCAAACACCAAACAACCCTAAAAAAAAGACGTCTTGCAGCGTAGCCTCATCTCATCGTCCTTTCGCCATATGTAAGGTCCGATTTGGGAGCCCGAATTTCCGCTACTTGCAGCGACTGCATCTCTACTTTCCAGCCCCCTTTCGGCCAAGGAAATTTTAATAAAAACATTCAAAACCATGAATGTTGGTTAAGGAGCTACCGTTTGATTAGTGCACGTTGTTGATATTGCTGATCACACAAATGAAATGCAGGACACTAAGTTAATATACTGAAAGCTATGTTAGCATTCTGGATACAAGAGTCATTGCCAAGAGTCAACACACACACACACAAAACTTGACTAATCCATTGCATAATTTTGTGTAAACCTACAAAATTATGTATGGGATATTATAGCCAAAAGGAGAAAGGTATGGATCGGTGTTGGTGCTCGATCCGACGTCATTACAAAGTAGACTAATCCGATACGTGCATACACCACCACGATCGGTTAAAAGCCCCGAGACGAATTGTTTCATTCAGCCTCAGCCTCAGTTATGCGCCCCATACCTCATCTAGATCGATTGCATATGCATGAATGCCTTGTACAGTTACGGGCGTAAGTATGAGTGCGGCATAACCCCTCTCCCGAGCGCCTGTCGGAAGCATCCGACACCAACCAGATCACTGCCGGCAACGCCATCCAACATCTAAGGCCAACTATGTAGTAGAGCTGAACCAAAAGATTACTAACAAACATAATATCAATGTGGAAAAACATAACTTCTCGTTTTTTCCACTATCTGCCCTACTAAGTTGCTGGGGCTCAATGCACACCCTGTAGTTCTTAGCTATTTTGGTATTCTAACCCGACAGGGAAAGGTGTCGTTAATGATGCTGCTGTTGACGAGAATATAGTGTCATGGCTTAACCTCTTTGGAAGCGAAGCAGAAGTAATCCGTTTAACGCTGCAATCCGGAACTAATGTAGATATGTTGAACCTGGTAGTATGTCTCCGAGTATTCAGGCAAACTATCACACATTTTGACACCTGTCATTACGTAAAATGTTCCTGTCTTATTCTCGCTAACCACCAATCATTTATGCTTGAGTAAGCAAAGCTGCACTGGCATTGCTCCCTTGATCACAACAGAGTGATGCATACTAATTTGTAAGGGAAGATCGCAAAATTCTATACACGTCGAGTCGAGGAATGAAACGTCATAAGCCATTAGAAATCTAGGGCCTACAAATAGTTCGACGAAGTTAGGCAAGGGCTTCATCAAGGAGCTGATTCGCGATACTTCAACTTTCATACAGAAAGATCTAATATACACGATTAAGATGCTGTCTAAACAACGTACTAGCGTGGCAAGTTATGTAGATCATAGGATGCTAGGTGTATTTGTAAGATGTCCTGATATAAATTTCATGTTACCTCGTCCTATTAGTCGAAAATCCGCTGATCAAGCTTTGCCTAAAAGGCAAGTAAAACGACTATACGAGAAATCTTGACTCGACGGAAATACGATGGCACAAAACAAAGATCTGCACTAGTTAATAGTGGCTCTCGAGAGGTCTTGTTTCAACATCCAGTCAGCCACGTTAAGTCAATCGATATCATGAATCGCTTATAGCCGCTTGCAAAGCCTGGTATCTGTGTTTGACCTCGCTTTGAACCAAACGTGTACGCAATATCTGGAGTCTTATCGGAAATCTGTCAGCATAGGTGCAGAGTTCCTCAGCCTTGAAGTAATAACTGAGTACTGTATGTGTCTCAATATGCTACTTGCGTTGACGTTCTTCAGACACTCAATTAGAATGGGGAATACTGTGGGGGAGAGAAACACAGGCCTTGCTGCTGATTTCTTTTAGATAAGCAGCCCTATGTTATTCTACTTCGTTACAAAGCTTCGAGGAAAAGATTCGAGGAAAACATTGCAGAGACGTGTAGATGACTAAGCAGAGATAGCGAATTGTATAAGGCTGCACATGTACACATGGCTCAGCCAAAGGATACCCTTGTCTATTATCTAATACCACGAAGACCCCAGTAACGATACATGTTCTAGTCCAAGGCACTTAGAGTGGGTAGACAGTAGGCGTAGTTGGTAGCTAGGGGTAGGCGTTCCAGGCTGTGACAATAATGGGCCCATATGGGACCATGGTTGCAGTCTAGCAGAAGCGAATACGTAGTACCCGGAGAAAACGTTGCGTCATGACGGAACTCCGGCTCTACTTCAGACATCCAAGTTGCCGGTAAGCTGGGGTGAACGATACCATCAAGAAATGCAAACAGCGCCCATGAGCGATTGCTTGCGGCGACCATTCTACTGGAAACGCTAAAAGATCAACCCACGCGACGTCATGTCATCGGATAAAACGGTCCGAAATGTGACCGAGGCCGTTGTGAAGTCTACCGGTATACCTGTTTTGAATAAACGACCCACCATTAATACACCAAACGACTTGAAACTACTCAAACACGACACATAGCTTACTAGCCCACAGATAGTATTACTTAATCTGATCAGGGTGTAGCCATGTTTTCCAAGGCACGTCCTGTGTGGTCATATAGTAAAGGATTTGTTTACCCTTTTCTGCTTCAAAGATGCCAATGTAACCACAGTGCCCCGAAATCTATATATAACTCAATTGCATAGCGGCAGGGATAGAATGGTCTGGGCCGCATTGGCTCATTTATCAGATCATGGTGTGGCAGAAACCAAGGTTGGCAGACATCGTAGGCTTTTGCGGTTAGGATAAGCGAATGACACACGCAACCCCTAGTCAGACGGTGGATATTTCATTCCTGCCAAGGCACTTTTTTGTGGCTTGTGCATCCAGAAACCAGTTGTGGATGTTGAAAAAGCTCAAATATGGAATATTCGTATTAAGCTCTCAGACGATAAAAAGTACTGCTGACTGCTGAATCTTCAAGTGTACAAATGATGAGAATCAGCACATTTACCTTAATCAACTGGATTGATACCAGCAAAAGTAAAATGAGAAGAATCAATTTTGAAATTTTGTAACAACCAGTCTGATCGTATCATGATGAACAGATCAACATGCGAATCTGGAGAGTTGAGAATGTAGTTGCTTGAAGATGAGAGCCAGTACATTGTAGCCTCCAGCGATTTATGCATAAATACACTTGAACCGCAAGACCGTAATCCTTAAAGACTCGTTCTCACATCCCTATCTCAATACCAGAACGCAATCTTCAAGCACTATGTAAGCACACGCGTTTTCATGGCATAGGTTGGCATCATCACTATTAAGGAATCGTTGAAAACTTCCCCATGGAAGCTTCCCGGATGACCTATGACCGCAATTTGAATTGAAATAAGAGATAAAGTAAAATTCAAGATAATCATGACGTTTTAGGTAAGTAAAAGGATGGTGAGGGAGCGCGAGAGGAGAAGGCGCGCTGTCACGTGAGGGGAACGACTAGAGTGATTACATAATCGCGGAACGCGTTTCCCAGTGAGTGCAACAACTTTCTAGCAACAACAACGCCGCTGCTGCCTTCCCAGCGACCAATTCCCACCACCTTTTACCTTTGCAACTATTGGAATTCTCAGTGCGATCGCTAATATGTAAGGACACTTTATGCGCGATATACACGATGAGAAAGCTAACGCCGCATAGGGAGGCATTCAATGACATTTATCTCAACCTCTCACGAAAGCCTGGTGCGACTCGATTCTCCGACTCAGGATTTGGCTGGAAGCCAGCGAACGGCGAAACCTACACTTGCGACCAGTCACAGATTATCCAAGCGCAGTGGAGCCGAGCGGCGCGCGGGTACGAAGTCAAGATCCTCTCACGTAACGATGGCATAATACAGCTTGATGGATTCAAGCAGGAGGATTTCGACCGTGTCGCAAAAGTCTTCAAAACTTGGTATGGCATAAGTTTGGACAACCGAGAGCACGCTCTGCGTGGTTGGAACTGGGGAAAGGCCGACTTTGGTAAGGCTGAGCTCACCTTCAACGTCGCCAACCGTCCCGCGTTCGAGGTACCGTACACCGAAGTCTCCAACACCAACCTGGCAGGCAAGAACGAAGTCGCAGTCGATTTCTCGCTTCCAGCGGACAGTGATTCGGGCGCGAATGGCCAACTTGGAGGTGCCAGGTTTAGAGGCAAGAAATCTGCTGGCGCCCGGGACCAGCTTGTTGAAATGCGCTTCTACATACCCGGTTTGGCATCCAAGAAGGAGAAGACCGAAGATGGAGAGGACGCTTCTGGTGCAGAGGATGGTGAAGAGACGAATGCGGCTAATCTATTCTATGAGACATTGATGGAGAAGGCTGAGATTGGTGAAGTTGCGGGTGACACGTTTGCCACATTCTTGGATATCCTACATCTTACTCCTAGGTATGGTGTTTGTATCTGCAGTTATATCCTGGGCGCTAACACTGAAGCAGGGGTCGTTTCGATATTGACATGTACGAGAGCTCGTTCCGGTTGCGTGGTAAAACATACGACTACAAGATCCAGTTTGACTCGGTCAAGAAGTTTATGGTTTTGCCAAAGCCTGACGACATGCACACTTTGATCACCATTGGTCTGGACCCGCCCTTGAGACAGGGTCAGACCCGATACCCGTTCCTTGTGATGCAATTCAAGCGCGACGAGGAAGTCAACCTAGACCTGAACATGAAGGGAGACTTACTCGAGGACAAGTACAAGGACAAACTTCAGTCACACTATGAAGCGCCTATTGCTACGGTTGTAGCTGATATCTTCCGTGGTCTCAGCGGAAAACGCATCACCAGGCCATCTCGGGACTTTATCAGTCACCATGAGCAGTCTGGTGTTAAGTGCTCCATCAAGGCTAACGAGGGTCACCTTTTCTGCCTCGATAAAGCATTCATGTTCATTCCCAAGCCGGCCACCTATATCAGCATGGACAACATCCAATCAGTGACGATGTCGCGTGTTGGAGGGGCTATGGCCGCAAGCCGTACGTTCGATATCACCTTCACGATGAAGAATGGCATGGCGGAACATCAGTTCTCCAACATAAATCGGTATGTAATCATTTTGTACATGCCGTGATTCAGTGGGACTAACACGCAATAGTGAGGAGCAACAACCGTTGGAGAATTTCTTCCGTGCCAAAGGCATCAAGACGAAGAACGAAATGGCAGATGACGTAAGTAGAAAAACTCCCCAGGTCTCGTGGTCTGTGCTAATGAGGCAATGCGAAGTCGGGAGCTATTCTTGCAGCAGCACTTCAAGACGAAGATCTTGCATCGAGTGACGATGGAGCACCAGCAAACCGCGGTAGTGCCGACGAGGATGACGAAAGTGTTGATGAAGATTTCCAAGCAGACTCGGAATCAGAGGTTGGCGAGGAGTTTGACTCGGACCATCAGAGCAGCGGCTCCGACAGTGATGCAGAGATGGATGATGCGGAGAGCGAGGGTGACGCCGCGGAAGCGGTGCCAGAACGACCGAAGAAGAAGCAGAAGGTGTCGCAATAGCCCAAGATCCTAGCCACCATACGCGGGCACGGGTGGACGGGCGACGGGGGAGGGGNGGAGGGGGGAGGGCGGTGAAGGGGGGGCCACTATCTTTTGACGCTTGCACGTTCATCACAAATGCAGCATTCCAATGATAAAAGAAGACGGTCGGGTTGCCGCTCTTAACGCTCACAACGGATCTCGAGGGCTTTGGTGAGGACATGGAAGTAAGTCCGCCCGCTCCAATAGGCCGTTTGTATGCTTGGCAGGATAGCAGGAAGAGAAGTTCCGAACAGGGTAGGATGCATCTAATGCGCTGGTAGTCCCAGAAGACGGGCCGACCAGCATCCTTAGCCGAATGTGCAGTGTACGAAAAGTTTAACTAAAGTGGCAAGTTAGCGCCCACCGTTCCGGCTAGGCCTCCACCAGTGCACGTCTCAAGCGTCTAACAGTGATGTGCGCACTGCACTTCGGCCATGACTCGGCTGACTGCGGCGCTTGACGCGACCTGGCGTGTGCGTGCAGGCCCATCACAGTCCCTGTACGCTGAAGCCTGGGCTCTCCTATACCAGCCGGATTGAGCTATGCGAAAGCGATTCAGATGATGCACTAGGCCAGAGGCAACCCCTTGGTAGATTTTCCCGACCTTGTTCATGGTGACGGTGGATCCGCAACTGGCGTGAACACCCATGCTAGACCCCGCATCTAACCATCGAGTTTCAAACGCTCTATCTCCCTCCATCATGCTGGTATAGATATAGGGCAGCTCTCTTCGATCCATGTGGATGCTCCCTCATACCCACATTCCTCGCCAAGAGGCTGTGTACTTTAGACCTCTCCAGACTTGGACCCACACACTTAAATCCCTTTGAGATGCGTTCACGAACCGGATGGTAAGTGGCGTTGGACTACTAACTATGCTGTCGCATCCTGACCTTGCTACAGCCTAACTTGCCGTCAGCGGAAGCTGAAGTGCGATGAGAAGAAGCCTGTGTGTGGGCAATGCACAAAGGCTTCTAGAGAATGCATACCAAGCTCAGGCATTGTCTTCCGCCACCAACACAATGCCTCCATGAATGGGGATGACTCGGGCGATGAGAACTCCCTCAAGGGCTTCTATGCATATAAGAACACATTTGACGACGATGCCATCTGGATAGATATTCCCAAGCATGGTTAGTATACCGATACCATACTCTTCAGCTTGCTCGCTAACTCGACGCCAGTCACATTCATCAACACCACCAATCCATATCTTGATCCTGGCACACCTGACTTTGACAACATGTCGACAGCTTCCATGGAATCACCAGGCCCGTTTGAGGCCCGCTCATTAGGCTCATGGCGTACACACAGCACTTTCCAATCAGTTACCAGCACACCATCCAGCTTGGGACCCGAACTAGCGCCTACCAGTGTACCATTCTGCTACACTCCCGAACTTGAGGCCCTACCGCCTCTGATGCAGTCGCCTCCCACCTCCACAGTAGGAACGCCAATGTCACCGCCCATGTCATTATGTAACCGACGCATACACCCGGTTATGGACTACACCGTTTCTGCTACTGCGTCGCCACCCATTGATCCTCGCCTCAACTCACCATACGACTCTTCCGATCGAATGCATCGGTCTGTTTCCATATCCAGCTCCAGACGGTCAGTACCGCGTTCGGATGGCGGCATGTCACCTCAAGACGACCAAGAGATTGCCTTCCTCCTACGGCACTTCTCAGAGGGCCCTGGATACTGGATGGATCTCTACGACATCGGAACATACTTTGCCTCGTATGTTCCTGTCAAAGCGCGTGAGAATTCACTACTCAAGTTTGCGGCCGTTGCGTGTGCTGCCAAAGCACTTGCACGTGTTCAGGGACGCACCTCCGTCACGGGAGGCAACGCCACATACCAAGCTCGGATGGCTCAGTATCCAGATGCGCAACTAGTAGACTGGAAGCACAAGGCTGCCGTGTATTATGATACTGCCGTGTCATTGCTACTGCACGCTCTGAAGATGGATGTTGTCTCTTCTCCTGACGAATCAGAGTGCGAGCAAAGATACCCTTCCTCGGCGTTTGACGGACCAGTCCCCAAACGACGACGGACTTCGAGCAACACATCATTTGCATCCAACACGGACGATCTTCTTGCAGCTTCCGCCATTCTATGCGCCTACGAGTTCCTCGACACATCCGTTTCAGAATGGGCCAAGCATCTTAACGGTGCCAAGTCTCTTCTGGTCCTTTCCCAGGAGCACGGTATGCCACTGCAACTACCAACACCCACATCGACATCCCCGTTGTCAAATTACAACATGATTTCCAAGGCTCGTAGGGCGACATTTTGGAACATTGCTAGGCAGGACATGGTTGCAGCTTGTAAGTCTACACATGAAACACCTGAAGGATCTTGCTAACATGACCAAAAGTCATCAACAAAACACACACAAGGCTTGACACTGAAGACTTGGCTATCTGGAGGGACGCGGGTCTCATGGTTGATGAGCAAGGCTTCATCATGCCGAGCAACATGGCAGCAAGCAGCTACCTTGAAGAAGGCGATGCTACCATGAGAGAAGATCTTGTATGCAACGCTCTTGTTTGGCTCATGGCTAAACTAGTCAACTTTATGGCTGCTGGTGATGAGATTGCCAGCCCATCTGGAGTTAGCTGGGGCGGTGTTTCGCAGCGCACACTGCTCGAATACTGGTTCAGTCTACGAAAGCAGCTCCAGGTCTGGTACGACGGTCTCCCTCCCACATTCCAGCCATCGGCCAGGGTTACACCTTCGCACACGCCCGGCCAGTCCCCGGCAAAGGAGAATGCTGCCATGTTCAGCGAAGTGTGGTACTCGATCCCCATGTGCGCTGCGACTATGCAGACATACCACATGTCGCAGATCCTTCTCTTCATGAATAAGCCGCACGAGTCGACCCAAGGCCGTAGCACGTTGGTTGCGCGCATGAACTCGTATCAATCTGTGCTTGCGACATGTCAGAAGCACAGTCGTGAGATCGTTGGAATCTCGCTGGCTCGGTCAGATGAGGCCGTTCGGATTCATTCCGTACAACCCTTGTTCACAGCTGGCCAGTGCTTGAGCGACCCACGAGAACGCCAAGTTGTCTTGGATCTTCTGAGGGACATCGAGTCTGACATCGGCTGGGCTACGGAGTATCGTGTGCGGCAATTATTCGAGCAATGGCAAGGAGAAGAACCGGAGGGTTTGGTACCATGAAGCCCATGTCCACCACGGGGGTGCTCAGCCCCCATTCCCCTCGGACCGCACACCCCTCCCTCCCAACAGGGAGGTGATCTTTGATACCAAGGCCGTTGTGCCTGTGTCAGGCTTGACCCGAACAGAAAGCCATACCAAGAGCTTGGGCTGGTTTTGAGTCATCTCGGATGAGGTCCCGGCTAAGGATGCGGTTGAGAAGCCGTTAGCGCGCCCAGACGCGCCCACATCGTCAAAGCAGCGGGAGCTATCGGAACAATACAGAGCAAAGGCAGCAAGTTGTGATTGCGTACTGAATGATGTACCATAGAATTCATTGGCCAGAGAGCAGCAGAAGCAAGGACGCCTTGAAATGAATGGCCGACAATCAAGCGGTGGTGGGTGCCGCAATGCTACGCCGCGGATCCATAAGGGATCCGGGCGCTGTGGGCGGCTACCCGGGCTATCTCCAATGGCGTGAAGAGCGTAAGAGAAAGGTACAAAGATGAAGGAGAGATATAACGGCTAGGGAATATAGACAGATGTTGCATCTGGTCCCACTTTGCACGGGGTGTTTTGGCACATATCAGCCCAAAGGCGGTAGAATTTTAGAATCGGAATTGCACACATGATACCCATTGAACCCCCACGACCACCAGTGTTGGCAAGCAATTCGTCTTTTGGGACCCCTGCATGCGCGTGACACGTCTATCTGTCTCTCTTTCTCTTGCACACACCACACACATACTCGCACTCACACATACCCCTCCCTCCCACGCGCACACCCCCCTTCCAACCAGAAACGAGATGAATACACAGGGCAGCTCGCCATGACCGCGATAACCACCACACGAAACCGATGGTTAATTTAAAATTTTGATGATGTTTTTTCACTCGCATCGCGTTTGACGAGATGCAGGAAACTCTAACCAAGGCTGTTTGCAGCCGTGCCGCGTTGAGAAAAATCCGGCGCGGAACTTGGTGAACTCAAAGCAAGCCGCATTGCCCCACTTTTCTTTTGCTACTCTATCGGAACTTCCGGTTTTTTGCACTGTCGGGCAAAAGAAAAAGCATACGTACTACTATAGACAAGACAAAGCCGGAAGACGGAAAAAGAAAGGGACGGAATGACGCGAACGGAACTTTATTTTTTGTCTTGATTCCGTTCGGGGTCCAGGGGGGCGGG